ATTGATGATGATCCCACCATAAGTTACTTGGAGATGCTGCTGTACCTCTCCTAATAAATCAGTGACTGCTCACAACAATGAGGAAGACATCTGGCTAGTTTTAGACTTCTAATTTACTATAGCTTTAGTTTTATTAATAATTTTAATACCTGTGATTTGCTATATTGGGGATAATGATATTCATAGTTGGTAAACACAATGTAAATAAACACTTAACAATCAATTAGCAGCTGCTTAAAAAGTGACCACCAAGACTGCTTTTATAATAACAGTGCAAAGTCAGTGTGGCCCTACTATAGATATGATAGAGTTTAGAAATCTCTCAGATCACGTGACGCTACTAAGGGCAATGGCAGTGGCTAGGTTTTTTGGTTCTAGAGCTAGAGGCGAGGATAAAGGTAAGTAGTACTGTTTACGGCAAGTATGATGTACTGTTTTTTGTTATAATAGATCAAGTGAATAAAATAGCTGGCCACCGCGCTGTATCAGTTGGTGATTCACTGTATATGTGGGCTGGTATTCATGCTGGTTTACCTGCAGTACATGATAGTGAAGAAAAGAGACAATTCTCTAGTAATATACAGCACTTTACTCCTTCAGCTGGTCAATGGATCACTAGAAGTACTACTGGTACTCCTCCATTAGGAGTGGGTGCATACTGCTGTACTGCAATAAATGATCTATTGTTTTATTTTGGGGGACAGTGCCACGGTGGCCATGATATCTGCTATCACAACAGTATTGCACAACTGGACACCGTTAGTCTTCAATGGAGGGAATTAGAACCAACTGATGCAACTAGACCAGTTATGAGACGAGCTTATGGTGGAATGCTATCATTTGAACATGATGGAGTACACCATTTACTAATGATAGGAGGAATAGGATCTAAACCAGTTGTACAGTTATCACATAGTGGATATAGTGAGTTACCTAGTGGAAGATGGCGTACTAATGAGCACTCAATGTATAATCTATCATCAAGTAAGATTTATATTGTAGAATAACGTAAATATTATGACAAAAATTTAGGAAAATGGAGTAATCCTTCAATCATTGGTCAGTGTATACCTCCTGCTAGTGGCTTTGTCATTGAAAAAATTAGCAACACTAGAGCTGTTCTGTTTGGTGGATTAGAGACTGATGGTGATGCTAAGGTTACTATTACTGACAACATCTATATACTAGAGATATCAGTTAGCACTGTGGTATGTTGAAAATATCAAATACCATATAGCTCTTTCATTTGGCAGTGTTTTATTTTGGTGATGGGTAATTTGCAAGTGAAATTGCCAATATTAAAACTGCCAATCATGAATATGCATGCTCAGTAATACATGTGTGTACAAAAATCCTCAAATTAAAAACTTCCAATTACAATTTTATAACAAAGCCACCAAAATAAATGTACCAAAATAAAGCGCTATATGGCACACACTTATTCAGGCTCACTATAGCATTGTTAATGAGTATGTTTATATTATTTTTAGTTCTGGCAGTGTATAAAGAAACCTGAAACGATAGACCAATATTGGCCTGTGGGTAGATATTTACATGGAGGTGCTGCTATCATAACTGGATCAAACCATCCTATGCTAGTGATAAGTGGTGGGAGGGATAAGGATGGTGTTACATTAGATGATTTTTGGATCTTTAATATCGCTCAACATTCCTGGATAAAGGTATGTTACAAACTATTTATTATTATACGGTGTAACTTATTAATTTTTTTTCTATTAACAGTTAGATGTGCCTCACTCTGTTAGTAAGAGATTGGATCATTCCCTCTCAGTGTTCATTATGAGTCCTTCTTGTGTCTGGATATTAACTGTCGGAGGTTTATTGGTTACCAGCCCTAACATTGTCATGTTGACTGAACTAGGTCAGTGTAACTGGTTATTATGAGTCAAGTACATTCATACTTATACTATTATGGTTTGTGTACATTGTGCTTAGTAACATGGACTTAATTGTACTGTACTTAATGTTTACAAAATTATATGATAAACTTTACTGTGCATAATAAATAATGTATGTTGAGTGTACTGTGCATAATCAACTTTACGTTGTAAGTTAATCTGTTGTACTACAAAATAATAATAAAATGTAATAGCGTGTACTTATGTCTTTTAGCATTAATTCCACAACTTCTATTATTGTATTTTAGTTATTGGCAAAGGAGAGTGGACAGTAGGTGATACGTTTGATACCAATGATATGAAGAATGAAAAATACAAGAAAAAGTATCTACAGCACCTAGAGTTAGGAAGAAGAATGTGGTTGGAGGCGGACTATCAGAAACCAAGAAAGGGAGATACAGCCGATATTGAGCAAACTGTACAAGCTCTTATGAAGAGTCTTGAAGAGAAGGAGAGAGAGGCACAATTTTTGCATCAGCAATTGGAGCAGAATAAAACAGAGAAAGAGCATGAAATAAAAAGATATTGTCATCTGCTACAAGAGAAGGATAGAGAGGAGGCAGAGAGAGAACAGAAATATAATAACCAGTTAGAAGAGAAGGAAAGAGAGCATCAAAAGGTACTACAAGAGAAGGGTAAAGAGCTACAAGAGAAAGATAGAGAGCTGCATCAGCTTCAAGAAGCAGTTCATATGTACCAGCAACGGGCACTTGCTAATAATCACTGGGTTATTAATAAAGATGAAGTTATTTTGACAAAGGAAGAGTTAGGAAGAGGTTCTTATGCTATTGTGACAGTTGGTATTTTTCAAGGTTTAAGAGTAGTTGTCAAGTCACTTCATAAATCATCATATCAGATTATAATCTAAGTATCTTCTCCAGGGAAATGGGTATAGCATCACGAGTACGTCATCCTAACCTGGTCCAGTTTATTGGTGCAACTAAAGTGAATAATCCTCTCATCTTAACTGAGCTGATGAGCACTAGTCTTAATTAGGAGCTTCGCAGAAACCGATTAACCAATCAACAGATTCTGAGTATTGCTCAAGATGTAGCTTTAGGCCTTAACTACCTTCACCTGTTTAAGCCTCAGCCTATTATTCACAGAGATGTGAGCAGTCCTAACGTATTATTAAAGCCTTGCACTAGACCTGCTGGTTTTGAAGCTAAAGTAGCAGATTATGGTACAGCTAAATTAGTACAAGTTGACAGTACTGGTACTGTTATGCCAGGAAATGTTGCATATGCTGCACCAGAAGCTCGTGATCCTGATCAACACAGTCCAGCAATGGATGTCTACAGTTACTCTGTTCTCCTTATGGAAATGACGTTGGGCTCTCCACCAGAAATGACAATGGCAGAGAGAGAAGTACAAGCTGGTAGTGTCTCCTGGTCTGATATGAAGTCTCTCATACAAATAGGAATTAATGCTAGTCCTAGAGCCCGTCTTACTATGGCTCAAGTAATAGTCATTGAAGAGGATAAATATATTTGATACCCTATAGTGTTAATTTATAATGATGTTTTTTACAAGTTTTACTGTTAGAAAGGCTGAATTTTACTAGGCTGAGAATGTAATTTTTATATTCCCATAATGAAATAAAATTACTATAATTGTAGTACTAGTCTATAGTTTTAAAATGCACTTCAATCATACACTACACGGAAGCCATGCATGCTTCCAATTGTTGTGAAAGAGAAGTACCCATGTGCATCCCAACACAATACCTGCTAATCTATTAAAATTAGTCATTAGAGTAATCGATATTTAAGTTAATAAGTGGAAGTAATATCTATGGAGAATGCCGGTTATGCATTAATTTAATGCTTCAAGATGAACATCATCCAAACGTTTAAAATATAAAAAGAATAAATGAGATAACCACAAAACATCAAGTAAAGTTAAATACCATAATAATAATAGATGGCCAGATCTAACTTTTTTGTTTGTTTTTTATGTTTCCTTTTTGTTTTTCTGTTGCCTCCTCCGGCTGTGTTCTCCCTCTTTCCCCTATTTTCTTTTTCTGGTCATTGTTTTTGTACATGTTCATTATTTTTACTTATAATAAAAATAATAAATAATGATGATGGTAATAATAATAATGATAATAATATTTTCCTTTTTGTTTTTGTTTTCTGTTTTTGCAGCATGTCACTTATGTCTGTTATAATATCATTTTGTGTTTATGAGTACCCATAATAATAATAATAATAATAATAATAATAATAATAATAATAATAATAATAATAATAGTACTGAAGTAATAATAACAGCAGCAAAAACAGATGCTATGCATGCCCTAGTGCATTATGGCAAAAGTATTTTTGGTATTTCATTAATTGAATTTAGGCTAAGTCATTTATGGCTAGACCACGCCTAGATCTATGTAGTAACCTCATACAGTCGCGGCAAGTCTCCATGTCAGAGCAAAGTTAGTTTCTATTGTCCGAGCTTTCACTCTTTTCCTAATTTTATTCTATTTCCTTTACAGGTATTTATAAAGGGAGGGCTAGACACTCAACTCCAGCAGTAGGAGGATCACTCTACCTCTGGGCAGGTGCTCAGCTTGATTTACCTGAAATACTTGCTCGATTACATGATTCACGTCCAAGAAGAAAATTGGTCTCAGCAGTCGAGAAATTTACTCTTTCAACAGGTCGCTGGACCTCTCACCTAACAAGAGGCACTCCTCCTTTAGGAATTGTGGGCTACGTCTGTGCCACCTTTCGTTCTAATATTTATTATTATGCTGGCTGGTGTGGTCATGATCGTTGTTTCCACAACAGTTTAAATGTACTAAATACACTGACCATGAGCTGGAATCAATTGCATCCTAATGATGAGTCCATGATGAAGAAAGGCTATGGTGGAATGCTATCACTGGAAATTGATGGAACTGACTATCTTTTTATGGTTGGAGGATCAGGTCCT